TAATAGCACCCAACCCGAAACACAAGTACGTGCCTCAAGTGATGTTTGTATTTTATTTTATTTCATTTTTAGGAGGAGACCACTTTCGCCGGTGTAAAAAAGCAGTGATTTTCACGGGTCGGGTTACGTGGCTTACTCTTACTTTGGGACTCCGTAACTGTGTCTGTCACAAGGCGATAAAAATTAGCTCCGTCGAGCTGCGGTGGTGTTCTTTTTTGGGGTCTAATCCACGTCTCATGTTTACACGTGCCGGCACTCGCCAACTGTCCATTTCTCGATGGTTTCCCTTTGGGTTTCGCTCTTATCAATGAAACCTGAGCGGTTTCATAATAATTTCGGTTCAATTGGGTTCGACTCCGGGGGCGCTCTTGGAATGGTTCCACGCTCTCCGGACATGACTCAATGCGGACATTAATCATGCATCTCAAATATTTCAGCAAACTACACGAACTAAAGGAGTGTTAGAATACTTTTTTTTTGTTTCAGCATCGCTGAGCAGATATTTTTTAGAGAAACAATACCACACAACAATAACAATAAGGAAACCAAACGAAAATTACTTTTCTACTAATTGCAACTCTGGAACAACTGCTGAGGTCATCATCAGGTGGGGAAACGGGCGGAGAGAGATCATCGTTTGGCCAACAGTTCACAAAACAATGCACAGGAAATTCGCATTTACTCATTGCCAGAGTACAAAAAAAAAAAACAACAATATAAACCAACGAACAAAATCGCCATGCAACATCAACATTTTCCCTTTTTCCCATTCTGGCGAAGGAATTTTCACAAAGCTCGGGATTGAGTAATGATGCCAGTGGGTTTGGTCCACTGGGGTAATACGAAGCCAGAGCAATTGCTTATTTTTCAGATTGAAATTCTTTTCTGCCACACAATGACGAACCCCAAAGTTCTCTCAGGATTTAAGAAAGTGAAATATAGCTATGAAGAGAATTGCCATTTTATCAGTAACATTTCTTTAAATTTTCTTAAAATAAATCTTTAGGGAAATGCTGGCTATTTTAAAATAACAAACCAATTTGTTTATTTTAATTTGGTAAGACACGTATTAGTTTCCTTGCACACATATTATTTTGTAGGCAGAAAGAGCGAGAGAGGAGTGTATCTGTACAAATACTCTAGGAGAGAGAGAGAGATACATTGAGATGAAAAGAGCGACAGCGGTATCCCATTCTATCTAACTCCCTCTGGCTTTCTCTAGAGATAGCTCTTACTCTCTCGCTCTCGCTTTCTCTGCTCTCTCCACTCGGGGAGTATAAATAGAGGCGCTGAAGGCCCGCCGGCCTCAGTCTGTCCTAGGGGTACCTAGTGTTAACATCTCTGGTGATTGTGATAGTGATTACCCTTCGACCTCAATAATATCACCTGGCCGAGGCAATGCATCTGGATGACCAGGGAGAAGCTCTGGAAGAAGTAAAGCAATGACGTGTCCTCTACAGCAGTAAGTCTTAACCATGACAATTGTATCATATATATATATGAAATTGAAGTGATCAAGCCTTGATCTAGAATTAGCTTCGCTAGCTATACATTTATTTTGCAATTAATTAACTTTTTGCCATTAACTTCATTACTTAAATTTAATTTCAAGTGACTCAGCAATTTTTTTTAATGATACACACAAACATAGTGAAGGAGTAATATCCGACCCTATAAATCTTTTATATTCTTGATCAGCATCAACAGGCTAATCATTCTGGCCATATATAAACGAAAAAAACAATTTGCGATTTTTCTCAAAATTTTATAAGGGGTTAATCGTGAAAATTGTCGAAAAATTGTACGTTTTTTAATTTTAAAACTCAATATGCAAATTTGTTAACCCTTTAAAATCTAACACAGCAAAGCAATCCGAATTAAATTCAACGCATTTTTTGCTTAGTTATGATATTTGAAAAACTTTGATTTACCCAAAAAAGTATCTCATAAAAATATTGTTTTAATTTACCTAGAAGACATATATTTTAGGTTAAAAGCCAATGATTGCCAAAATTTTATATTTATTACTATCTTCAATCAAAATCTAATCAATAAAGATTAAAACATTTGAAAATAAAATTTGACTATTAAGATGTATGTAATGTATCAAAGTTTTTTAAGGATAGAATCATTAAAATTTTTAAATATACATATAATGTTTAATTTATTATTAAATTAATTATTAAAGCCCAATATGCTAATAATCCTAACTAAAACCAATACAGAAATGCTTTCCAATTTGAGATTAATGCATATTTTACTCAGTTATCGATAGGTCGATTTCTTATTCGAACCCATGATCCTATGGCCAACTGCAAGGCTTCTTGAAGCTAGCTTCCTTTTTTGTTTTTTAAATATTTTAGATAGTTAAAGATTGAGAGTCATATATTAGACATTATATCATATGAAAATTTTACTCAAGATGTAAGTATAAACATATATAAAGATACATATCTAATCTTTGCAATGCAATCTTTATTCTTTTCTTTTCTATTCTATTGATTTTTTAGTGAACTTTAAACCAGAGACAATTTTTAAAGCATCTTTTTCAACTTGGCCCTATTATTTAAATCAATACAAATCGGTCTTGAATAGAACTCCCTTATTTTTGCAGTTCCTTCCTCCAAATTACCTTAATTTCATTGGGATCATATGCCTGAGTTGAGTTGCCAATTGACATGGCTGCTAACCCCGTTGCATAATACCTGACAAATGCAATTCGAGGCGAAACCACCGAATGCAATGCTGATGATGCTGCTGATGATGCTGCTTCTGATGATGATGATGATGATGATGATGATGACGGCCTCAAGTGAAAAACACTCACGCAAACACGCGACGCACTTTGGGTGGCTCCATTCCAATGGGCTCCGGTTCGAGGTTTGGGATTAGGGGCTTGGGGTTCGGGTATGGTAACAGGGTACTTTAATAAAGTGCAGTCCAAATTGTGGGCCATCAGGCAGGCACATCAGCCTTGTAGTTGTTGCTGCTGCACTGCTGGCAATGATGCGGTGCTGCTGGTGGCAGTTGCAGCCACCGTGGCGTCAATTATCGCCGCTGTACGCAAAGTGGGGCAGGTAAATAATAATAATAAAGAAAAAAAACGCGCCCAAAACGCAGTCGTCAGGCTCGAGAAAAAAAACCCACTTCATTGTCAAATGAGCTTAAACACACGCCCCCTTCGGCCCCGATTTACCAGGGTCTACCCCCTTCTCAACGGTGACCCCTCGTCTTTCTCTCCTTATCCCAAGTCTACATTCATCTCCATCTCCGTATCCATCGCCATTCTCGTTTTCATTTATGCAGCACTCTTTGCTGCATTTTCGTTTTCATTTTTAATTTTCAGCTTCAGTTTAGCTATGTTTGGATACCCTAACAGGGGAAGCTAGAGGATTAGCTTAAAAGTGGTAGAAAGGGTATAGAAAAGGGTATTCAAATATATTTATTAAATATTCTTAAAGAAACTGCTTGAGAAATTCTTTTATATTTTATTTATATTATGTTTTTATAACCTTACAGCGAAATTTGGTGTTTTTAAAACTGGTTGAAAGGGATATAAAAGGGTATTAAATGAATTTATTTAAAGAGGATTAAGGGTGGTGCTTAGAAACTTCATATCATATTGCTTATTGAGTATTTAATATTTATATTTAATTTTATTTTGAATGTAATTTTTACTAATTAAAATAAATTAAAATTCTAGGGACTTACTATTTTAATCAATAAAACTGTTGACTTTTTTGAGAGATATTAGAGTCTTGGAGTTAAATTATCATTAAACTGAGTTCCAAAATACATAAAAAATTATTATCTTCCATTTTTTATCAATGGTTCAGTCCAAGAAAAGAAAGTTTATTGTCAAGATATTGCTAAGAATACTACTAAACTCTTATCCTGCCTCATCAAGCATGTTAAAACTATATATTGATCTAGATATATAGTTTTGGGTGTTGTTCTTATATGAAATAGTAACAAAATAAGCAAATTTCAGGACTATTTCAGGTAAGGAAATTTTATATCAATCTCATATAATTTTAACTCTTCGAAATCATTAAGATATATAAGCTTTTTGTATATTAATTGCTCTTAACTTATTCAATTAATATAATCAGTAAATATAACATTATTTTCCTTCCTCCTTTTATATGTAATTTATATATTATATTAAACCGGAAGAAAAGAGAACTCAAGAATTCGACTTGATAATAAAACTGCACTTCTTCTTGTTTTGTGTTTGTCTTTTTTTGCTGCAGTTTTGTTCGCCGTTTTCACGCCTCACTTGCCGCCTTTGTTTGCCTCATTCGCTGATTTGCTGATTGATGGCGACGTCTGCAATTGAGACAGGGGGGTGGGCAAGGGAAGGGGGAAATGGGGTGACTGGGAGGGGAGTGGGTCTCCCAGCACAGAGAGACCTGAGCTCCGTCGCCGGCAGCGACTCCGCGCAGGTGTCGCCGCCTAATTAAATGAAGGCAACGCTCACGCATGCGTAACCTGCAAACACACCCATTGGCGGCAGACCCCCCTCCGTTGCCCTCCTCTGCCCTTCGCCCAGTGCATTGTTAAGAAAATGGGTCAATATGCAATTATTGCACACACTTCCCAGCTTCGTTTTGCGTCACCTGCGGGGAGAGTAGGGGACTAAGCGAGTTCGCAATAATCATAATATGGCTACTTCACTTGGCAAAGCAAAAGCAATCCAGTCGTGGCCTCCGTTTTTTTTCTTTGTTGATTTTGTTAATATTTGCCCCATTGGTACGGCCTTCTGCCCCCCTCAGCTGTTCCTCTGACTCGGTCTGACTCTCCCATTTCGCGGAACTGGAGAAGGATCGATGGATCGATGCATCAATGCATTTGCGGAAAAAGCACCAAGTTCTAGGGGGTAATGAGGCGGGAACAGAGTTAGAGTACTCCAATTTCCTCTTACTGGGAAATAGCAATAATTTTTGTAATTAAGCCAGAAAGTTAATTTCCTAATTTTATTTACTTTACTTTCCCTTTCAGTTTTATGTCTAAATTCTCTCATTAAAATATGTCTACATAATATAATATAAATACACAAAAAAAAATTGCATATTTTTGGCCTTCTTCCATCTAAATTAGTCCTTCTTTAAAGCTGTCAAAATGAGGGCACTTCTAGGTGCCGGAAAACTCCTGAAGAATGTAAGTTTTAAGGATATTACAAAGAATTTCAAAGCCATTTCAAAAAAACAAACCTACAGTGCAAATACCGAATTAGATGGTACTGCAAGGAGAAAACCCTACTACCACAAAAGGAAATCAGCGAGAGGATCAAAAAGGCCAACGAAGCAGGTCTAGAAGGTTAACAACGCATTTATCACGTCTCAGGATGGGTAATGCCAAGAAAACGGAACCGGAAACTCCGGCCATGGAAATTTTATGTCGAGCATTGGCAACATCTTCAGGATCTTCTTCGTCGAATGTCAAGTCCAAGAAAGGATCTGTTCCTCAGCAGTCTGAATGTCCCTCGGATTACGGCAATAAGCACTCAATAATCCCCCCATTCCCCCAGAAAACAGAATGCAGGAATCTAAAATTCAACTTGATAAAGCAAACTCTGAAACACTGGAAATATTCAATTGTAAAATCTGCCATGAAAATAGCTCAGGCGAAGACCTAGAATCCCCTACAAAGTCAAAAGATGCCAAAATAATAAAGCTAATGAATCAGTTCTGAAAAACGAGACGTCTTCGAGTGCTGAACAGCAAGAAAACCCCAACAATGTGAAGAATCGAGTATTGTAAAACAAGCTCCAGTTGAAGATATGAAAAGCTACAAGATAAGCCTATTGTTAAGGATGCTCAAGAGAAGGCAAAACCACGAATTCTCAATCGATGTACCATTTCCTTTGGGAAGAAATCCCTGTATAGATGGCAAACGGGGTAATGGCGAGAAATCTAAGGATGCATCCCAGAAAGAAAGTTCCTGCAATGAGGAAAACATGAAAGCCGAGTCCTATCCTGAAGTTGATGAAACCAAATCCAAATCTCAAGAGGAACCTTCACAGGAAGATGTCGTTGAGCCAGAGGAACAGAAAGCTAAACAAGAAAACACTGAACTTAAGGTATCTAAGGAAGCAGCCCTGAGACGAAGTTCCTGCACTGAACAGACGGAGGATAGATCAAATGAACGAAAATTTAAAAAGACTGAGAAGAAGAAGACCACAAAACCTGTTAAAGAACAAGCTCAAGAAAAAGTTAATCCTAAAATTGATGAAAGCAAGACTCCAGCTATAAAGGATCATAAAGACGGCAAACGGGAAAATGCCGACGAATCTAAGGATGCAGCCCAAACAGGAAGTGCCGTGCCTTGTCCTAAGCTAAATGCCAAGTTGAAGGTAACTGCAATAAACCACAAGTTAAGAAGAGTTCGGAGAAATCTCCTGCTAAAGGAACTGCCCAAGAAAGTGTTAAGCCTGAAATTGATGAAAGCAAGAAGAAAACTAAAGAAAATGCTTCCCAGGAAGCTATGGCTGAACCCAAAGAACAGAAAGTTAAGCCAGTGAGTCCTCTGGTAAAAAAGGTAATCCTCCCAAGCATCCCCGCTCCCTTGGATGGTAAGAAATCAAGGATGTTCCAAAATCAAATACCTGCACTGATAAAGTGTTGCAACCCATGCCTTGTACTAAATTAAAAGTTCAAAAAGATGATCCTTCAAAGGCAACAACTCAATCGCAGCCACCCAAAGATTGGAAGCAACCACCACTGCCAACTTCTGACTTTAACTTTCCTTTACTATCGGCTTTTCCATCGGGCAGAAATCCCTGCAGAGATGGACCCCGAGGAGGAAGCAAAAAGGAGCTCAAACCGGAGGCAACAGAAACAGAAGCCGAAGGAGAAGCCGAAGGAGAAGCCGAAGGAGAAGGAGAACTTAAAAAGGAACCCAAACAACCATACATAGAAGACTGCGATTCTTTTCAAGAAATGATTGAAGAATCATCCTCAAAAGAAAAGGCTTCAAATGCACCCAAGAAAGCTGAGGCACAAGCAAAAGAGATTTCCAATTCTGCCAAGAGCGAAAAGACTCTAACTGGTTTAAAATCTTCCGAATCTTTACCCTTAAAGAAACTATTAAGTCTACCGAGAAATTAAAGTCTGATGCCCAAAAGGCATCAGCTTCAGTTTCTAGCAAGGAAGAATCTAAACGTCTTCAATCTTCAGAAAAATTAATAAACGAAGCTCAAAAGGCTTCAGCTTCTATTTCCAGCAAGAAAGAATCACAGCATCTTAAAGATACCAAAAAAGTAAGAGATGAAACTCAAAAGGCAGCAGCTTCCGTTTTAAAGAAAGAAAAATCTAGGCATCTTGAAGCTACCAAAAAAGTAAAAATGAAGCTCATAAGGCATCAAACTCAGTTTTAAACAAAGAAAAAGTAAAGCAACTTGATAAATCCAAAAAACTAATAACCGAAGCTCAAAAGGCATCTGCTTCAGAATTAAACAAGGAGAAAACAAAGAAACTTGATGATTCCAAAAACCAAATAATCAAAGCTCAAAAGGCATCAGCATCAGTTTCCGCAAGGCCTCCAAGAGCGAGGAAACCATCTATGGAAGTAACCATCTCTAAGGATAGTACAAATTCCAACAAACTTAAGAATTTGCCAGCACCTCCACTGGATTCCACCCTTGAGGCCTATTTGGATAGCATTGAGCCCCTTCTCACAGAAGCAGAGTTTGAAAACGAGATAAAATTGACCGAAGAATTTATGAAAAAAGAGGGTCCGGAGCTCCAGAATCTGTTGGAGGAGGCAGCCGCTAGTTGCAAAAACTGGTTAACTCCCCGATGGACCCAAGCCGCCTATTTAGCCTATCAGGCACCCGTGACAGCCTTCACCAGTCCGGCACTATCATTTCCGGTGCAAACTTTCAAGGATGCCATGGAATGCCTCACCTTTACGGCCCGAGCGATTCGAGCCATTTACTTGTTCAAGACGCTTGTGGATCAAAATAAAATCCCTGTAACCCAAATGGGTGATAATCAATTGGATAACAGCCAGTTTTCCAATATCTTTGGTACGGTTCGCAAGCCAGGAAGGTTTTGTGATACTATCGAGCAGTACTGCGATTCAATTACGTGGTGGTTGTCTTTAAAATAATGTAAGTTCTAGAAGGTCTTGATTTTTGAGATCCTTTTAATCTAATCAAACTTTATTGCTCTCCCCTTAGTACTTTCAGTTACCCATCGTTTCGTCTTCTGGAAATCTGTCGAGTGTTACAAGTTTAGTGGATGAACTGGAGGCCATCATCAATTGTCCCCTGCCAAAGGGTGAACCCATTGGCTTGCTAACCCACGACAATCGAGGCAATTGGGCCGAGGCTTATGGAGCAATGTATTGTCAGCCTGGTAATGCGGATACCCTAGAGGCAATAGAGCAATCTCTTTTCGTGGTCTGTCTGGATGAATGTGTTCCAATTCCCGAAGGACAAAAGTATATAGTGCAGGCACACCAGCTCCTACATGGCGGTGGACTGACTGAGAATAGTGCAAATCGCTGGATGGACAAGACTATCCAATTGATTGTGAATCCAAATGGATTGGCAGGATTCTGTTACGAGCATTCACCGGCCGAATGTCAACCACTGGCCATGCTCATGGACTATGTGATGGAGAAAATGTATGTAATATGTTATTTTATTTATTTTCTACTACAATTAACTATCTTTATTCCAAAAGCCAAAAGGAAGCCGAGTCCGAGTCCGGGTCCGATTGCCACTGCGAGTGTAGGGAACCCAACAAAGGCAACAATTCGAATCCAGCTCGACATTTGAGATTCCTTCCATCTGACGAATGCATCAACATGTGGCTCCATGTTGCCATGCGAAATATCTCAAAGATCGCCAATCAGCTGCAGATGTATGTCTTCGAGTATGAGTGCCATGGAAAGGACTTCATCAAGGCTCAGGGTCTCAATTCGGATAGCTACATTCAGATGGCTTTGCAACTGGCCTACTATAATATGCACAAAACTATACCCGCCCAATACGAGTCGGCACATTTGCGAATGTTTGTCGATGGAAGAACCGAGACCATACGTTCCACCTCTAATAAATCAAAGGAATTTTTAGAGGCCATGAAGTCCCAAAATGCCACGGAGGAAGACAAGTTAGTAGCGCTCCAAGAAGCAGTGGATCTCCATGAAGAGTTGACAAAACGTGCACTCCATGGTGAAGGCATAGATCGCCATCTATTTGGCCTACAGCAAATGGCCGTGGAGAATTGTCTACCAGTGCCAGAGTTCTTCAAATCCAAGGGATTCGTGCGATCGGTTACCTTTCAGCTTTTTACCTCCCAAGTGGCCACCACACACAAGTCCTTTATGGCCTACGGTCCTTTGACATGCGATGGCTACGGTTGCTGCTACAATCCCCAGGAGAATAAGATCTCTTTTGCCATTTCCGCTTGGAAAACATCGATGGGAGTTAACCCTGAGCAATATGGAAAAGCCATTAAGAAATCTCTGGACAGCATGAGGAAATTGATTGTGAAAACGGGAGGGGAGAGAGTGGGCGAGGATCCTTGCCTATGTGAGAAAATTTTGAAGTAGAAGGGAATTCTCTCTCAGGGATACATTTTCCTTAATTCGTTTCATCGTAAGACAAATAGACCGTGATTATATTTTTCAGTTGCATTAAACAAGTGACTTCTCGGGTTCAGGGTCATCGAAACACGAATTCGGATTACTCATGCCGAAACCATGCTCACCTTTGACAAGAAATTAGCCAGAGACTCGTTAAATTCTCTTCACAGAACGTTGGCAATCCAGAATATGAGTCTGACTCAGTGAAAGAGAACTCAGAACATCAGAAATCGCCCACAGAGAACACTCACTCATTCACTTGCTAATTAATAACTCAGTCAAGTCAGTAGAGTAGGGATATATGTATATAGTGAAATATAATGAGGATTTGGGGGAATATTGTGTAGGTATTAGTTAAACCATATAACCTTCAAAGCAAGCAAAATTGGAGTAGGAGGAATTTCATCAGAGAAGTGAGTCAGTAGGTGAATAATTGTCATCCATTAACCAGTAAGGGAAGACATTCTCATTGATCTCCTTCCATTTGCTGCACCACTGACCCACTTGTCTTATGAATGCGGCGCCTTCTTCTTTGTGGGGCCAAAGAGTCAACCCCTCTATTCCTCCATTATCATCTCATATTTGCCCCCGCCAGTGGTTATGCAACTTTTGCAGATGCAATTTGCAGTCTTCTGTCAGTTTTGCTCTCGGACTCTAGATTCTCTGTACTCTGTAATCGATTCTCAGTTCTTCGTTCTGTATTCTCCATTCTCTGTGTACCCTGCTCTTTGCAATTTTATTGCTAAATTAAGTAATTGGTACAAGAAGCTGCCTTTGCCTCCATAGAGAGCATCTCTATAAGCAAGTGTATCTGTATCTGTATCTATTAGACCTCGTATCTGCATCTGTGCATGGGATGAGGAGCGTGCTTCTCGAGTATTTCACTTCTGCTATTCACTGCAAATGTGTTTTGCAGATGAACGCTCATTCCGATGAAAAATATGAGAAGACTAGCTGCAACTACTATATCTTTATATCTGCATTTAGTTTCTGCTCTCCGAATTGTTCCAGGGAATTGCGACTTATTTTTGGCCAAATCTCTGACATATCACATTTGCTGTCATTAGCTAAAATTGCAGGCATTCTAATTGGCATACTCCAAACCAATTGAAGCCACTTCAGTTGAGTTCACCTCAGGAGACTGGAGTGTTAATCACTCCGCACTGATTTCAAAGGAGATCTCTGGCCTGCCCCTCACGTGCTGCTACTCGTCATCCGGCGATGGTCGCAATCTGATCTCATTTTAATCGCAGCTAATGAATGTCAACGCTAATTGCCACTTGAGTGCCGCCACTCAGTGGGGCTGGACTGGGGTCACCCGAGGGGGGTGGAGCCAAAAAGTGATCTCAAACAAACAAAACACCAGAGCTAACAAGCAGCAAACAAAAAACAGTAAACAACAGAAAACAAAAAGAGTCAAACAAAAGGCGAAAACCTAATTACGGGTTATTATAACTTATAACTAAATGGATCACAAACTTTGCTTCGAAGGGCGGTGCGGAGTGCGTCACTTAAACGACTTGATATTTACACAAAAATTTACACAAATTAATTAACCAATTAAGTGAGCGTAGAGCAGACAAAAATTGGTCATTAATCATCTAAGAAACCGATGACGATCCATGGCTCAATGATGTGTGGTAAAAACTCAATTCAAAGATACTTTAATGGGTTTATTCAATAGGATGATAGATAATTAAGACTATATTGGGGAATTTGTTTAAGACAAAAGATATATTTAACCCTTGTTTTGGTGGGTGTTTTCAGCTTTTGAGGGAGGTTCTTTTTGAATTTAATATATATTTTGTATGGTACTTAAAGTTTACAGATATATAAATGAGTATGTTCTTTGCTATTCTATTAGAAACTCAGGTAATAAATTAAGGAATCTTTATTTAAGATAAGTTATTTTTGTTGAATTTGATTTTAGCTCTACCTTTCAGGAATTCTTATTCATTATCCGTCTATATTATTATTTTAAATCCTATTTCTCATAGAATTTCTTCTCCACTTTCCTTTAAATTACCCTAAGGGGGTTAATCATTTGTCTTCCAACTCGATCTTAGCCTTTATTCCAACTGCAGGCAAATGGCGGCAAAATTATGCCACCGGCCACATGGCGTATGAGTAATCATTTGGCAAAAGCCTTTGCCATTTATGGCACCCCATGTAGCCATCGATCGCTCAGCAAAAGCCAAGCAGCATCTCACATCTCTCTCAGCTTGGACAACGAATTCGATTCAACAATTGTTTGTTTGTTTGTTTATTTTTGTTTATTCGTTGGCTGGTTTTGTTTGACTTGCTTGGGGCCTCTCTCGTGGCTCTTGGCTCTTGGCTCTTGAGTTTCGATTCCGATTTTCAATTCCAATTCCAATTCCGATTCCGATTCCGAGAGCTGGTTCTGCTGGCCATTATATGGTGCCTTGTCACGTTGCTGTTGCAGTTTGCTCGAGCTTGGTTTTTTTGAGGACCAAGTTGGGGTCGCAATTCTTTATTTGTATTCCGAGTAATTGTCGTTTGCCGTCCCCGTCGTCAAAGGTGATGTCATCCGGCAGGTAGAAGTGTGTGCATAGAGGTGCCAGAGGTGACTTTTTTCATAGCAGTCATCGTTGCGAGCTGTGTGTCGTTGATGGATTCGTTTTGGGGCGAATCTCGGCTTGACTTTGGCTTTGGATTGGATTGGATTGGATTGAATTGGCTCTTGTCTTGGCCCGTTGCTGCGCATTTTGACCAAGTTTAGCCAAACTCAATTAGTCTTAACTGATGTTACGGCTTGGGCTTTTTATAGAATACAAACGTTAGAGGAACAGGAGAAGGAGGGAGGGGTCCTATGGTTTTCTGATATCATTGGGGTCAAGGCCAGTTCGAGTCAGAGCCAAACCCAAATCCCAGCAACGATCCCGTCGTCTCGGCTGCTGCGCAATTCAAAGAAGAAAGCCGTCTACATAAATTCAGTTGGCAAAAGCAGGCATTCTCTGAGCTGACTTCGATCGCAGCGTCTTTAATTAGCACTGAAATTAAACTTTTTGTTGTCGGCTTTTTTTCTGTGCTTTTTCCTTTCATTTGTCGCATTACCTGAACCCATCTCTCGTTGCCAGTCTGGGAATCTTGCTGATTCCAGTTTCCAACAGCAGCTACCGTCGACTAATTGTTCTTTAAACAAATTGAGAAGAGTCGAGGCAGCAAAAAGCAAATTCCGAAATCTTCATAAACATGCTAACGAAAAAGTTCTTTTGCTGAGGGCGACCTTGGATTATTACGTTTCATTTGCTCCAGCTTTATTTATTAATTCGTAATGCCATTTGTTATTCCATGGAAAAGTTTCAATTCAGTTTTTTTTGTTTTGTTTTGGGTCGATGCCCCGAAAGTATCTTCAGAATGCAAGTACCAGAAGCGAGACCATTTGCTCGAGTATCTGCAGAATTGCGCAACGCTCCCGGCCACAGAGAGATACTTACATATATCGAGTGCTTTGACTTCGTTCGCTTTTCTTTTTCATTCTTTTTGTACTATTTTTTGTGCATTATTTTGGTTTCTGCCGCGGCCTGCATTCAGCATACGCCCTGTTGTACCCGCTCCTTCATCGCCTTCAATTGCGTTTTCTGCAAAACACATTCGCAATGGAAAGCAGAAGTGGAATACCAAAGAGGCGAAAAAAGAACACAGAGGCATGCTCCTCATTGTGCCCAGATGCAGATGCAGATACGAGGCCGCTCTAATAGATACAGATACAGAGATACAAAGATACAGAGAGCCGCAGCACAAAGGCAAATAAAAGCATTTGGATTGCATGAATCGATGGCAAAAAGGGCGGAGGGGCTGCTTCTTGTACCAATTACTTAATTTAGCAATAAAATTGCAAAGAGCAGGGAACACAGCAAATGGAGAATACAGAACGAAGAACAGAGAATCGAGTACAGAGTACAGAGAATCTAGAGTCCGAGAGCAAAACTGACAGAAGACTGCAAATTGCATCTGCAAAAGTTGCATAACCACTGGTGGGGGCAAATATGAGATGATAATGGAGGAATCGAGGGGTTGACTCTTTGGCCCCGCAGAGAAGAAGGCACTGCATTCATGAGGCAAGAGTGGGTCAGTGGTGCAGCGAATGGAAGTAAGACTTATCTTAACCCTAGGATAGATTGTTTCTCATTAAATACTTGATGTAAACCCACCCAGTAATCCCATCTAAAGTAGCCAGAGCTCTCTAGATCTCATGGATAACCAATTAGCTACCCCTATACCCTCTCATTTTCTTTACCCTGAAAAGCCCTCTCCCCTTTTCTCTCAGTGCACACACTTATATGGTATGATTTAGTGCCGCCGCCACTGACTTGGCTGAGTTATTAATTAGCTACGGAGCTGGGTGAGTGAGTGTGTATTCCCTCCTTCCCGCTCCGTGGGCGTTCTCGGATGAGCTGAACTGAGCTGTGATGGCTGCACTTGACTGATCTCCCAACGAGCCAAGTCTCTCCCCTTCCCCTTTCAAAATTTTCCCCCTCTCCGATTGTGAGTCAGGCGACGATCGTTTTGGGGGCCTTGTCAAAGGTGAGTAATAAGCGGGGAGCTTCTACGGAGCAAAAAAAAACGACAAGTTTCGAGGCAAATGTTCACCTTGAACTTGGCCAGACAGCAGAGCTAACTACATATTTGAATTTGAATTTGAATTTTCCTATCTATTTCCCTTTGAGTCTTCTCTGCTTCTCTTTTTTTTGCAGTTGCATTTTGCGCTGCTCAGCGAAGCTGAAAATATTTAAATGCTAAAAAACAAATGGTGGCTTTTTTTAGCGGCAGCTGCTAAACAAATATGAATGCGAAATGTGTGTGTTTGGTGGGGGCCTGGGACTCACCCACGAAAGTCCCAACAATACTGCTGCTGTGGATGATGATGATGACGATTTTTGTTGGCCTGGCCAAAAAGCAGAACCACAAGCGACAAAGTAATTACGTCGACTGAGAGAGAGAGAGAGCTACAGCAGGTTATGCAAGTTCAAGGCCAAAAACTCTGCATTAATTATAATTATTTTTGCATTTGTTAAACGCAGAGGGGCAGCGGCAACAACAGTAAGCTCGTCGTTAATTGTCTGGGCGAATGCAAAAGAAGAAAAACAGGTAAATGCAGAATTTGTTTTTGCTCAAATGTGGTAATTAATTGTGGCCAGCAAATCGATGGCTGAGAATTCCCCCCTTTAAAACCCACGGAGGTTAATGCCACTCGAAAAGAATCGAAGACCTGTAATTGATTCAAGTCGCAACCATGAAAGACTGATTCAGCATGTGTTTCAAGCCAACACTTGGACTCTAATTTTTATCACCCTGTTTTGTACACAAAAAGGGAGAAAAAACTGAAGAAAAAACAATCAAAACCAAACACAGACCAAAACAACACATGTACCCCGACGAGACCTGAATCGCTGCAGTTTTTCAGTTTGTACTCCAGGGAAAGTTATCTTTGTTTTGTACACAGAAAATGGTCACGTACTTATGGTTTCACTTTAGTTATCTGTAAAATATATATTTTTGAGACAAAAGCTGGCATATATTTGCGGGATTTTAAATAGTTAATAAGAAGGCAGAGCAAATTCAATATTTCTTTATCAATTAGGAATCGGTTGCAGAAAGGAAAGTATTGCTGCTCCTTCCTTATAACATAATAAATAACTTTAATCATCTCTCTGCTTATTCTGCTAAATAATAGCCTCAACCTTTAGCTTAGTTCATAATTCAAGTGTTTACCATTTGTTTCCTAAATTTTGTTTCCTTTTACGACTTCCTTACATACATTCTTATGTCTTTGTTTCAGGAATCTTAGGGCCACATTGCGTATACGCAATCTTTGACTAACTTCCATTCGAGACACTGATACACACATTGTTGTGTGTGTGTGACACTGAGCGAGTGTTCATAGCTGTCAGCCAACATACTTTTCCAATTATTTTCCCCACTCTGGAAAAGCTTTTATTAACACATTCCATTTGGTGGCAACTGACAAACTTTGTTTCCCCTGGTTTAACCCTTTACTCCTTGATGTTTATTTTTTTGTTCTAGGGAGATTTATTCACAATTTAAATTATGATAATATTTAAAGTCACAACACCCACAGAAAAGGGAAAGCACGCATTTGGTAAAATACAATTTAAAGAGGAAAATGTAACAGACTTTTAACCCATTGACTTTTCCCCTTATTCATTGTTGCTGTCACAGAGAAAATAATGTGACAAAAGGTATCATTTAAATTTAAGTTAAAATTTAAACGACAAATTGTTTAATTACACAGATTTATTCGTGCATTCGATTGCCAGGCAAAAAGGGAATTTGCATAGTAATTGCAGTTCAATTGAAATAATTGATTGTTCAGTTCGATTGAAATGAGACAAAAGTTTGCTTGTTTTTGATTGATTTGTGGTAACCGAGATTAAATGTGGCTATAAATACGGGAAATTAAATCTAGATTTATTTGAAATTTAACCAATGATTAGTTTTTGATGAATTTAAAAAGAAAACAAGTGAATTAGCAACACAAAATCAATTTCATGTAAGAATCTGCCTAATAGACCTAAATTCTTCATAAACATTTCCACTGATTAGACCTGAATAGAAATCATATCCATATGACACGGAAATCGATTTAATTTCCCTCGATAACCTTGTGTATTAGCCATAGTTATGTATAACTGGTTAACGTGTTTGGTTAAAGAGCGAGCTTCGGCAATTAACACAGAACGTTGGCTTGACCATGCGTTGGGTTCCATCCAATCGCATAAATATGCTAATTTATGTTTTCAACGACCAAGTATATATTCTAAGCTCCGATCCGATTCGATTCGATTCGATATTTTTTTTCTCATTCCCCACCTCCTATTTTATTATTCAACTAATTAGCATAAGTTGCGCGATTAGAGACATTTCGAGTTGAGTGTGGTTGCGTTTCATGAAAAGTAAAAGTAGTATTTTCTAAATTATGACGCAAGTTGAAATCGAAATAAAAAATGGGTCAAGGTTGTTGTTGAATAATATAATATAGAACAGGAGTTGGAAGTTGAACAAGTTGGTATATTTTATTTATATTTTATAGGTTTACAGGCTTTAATAGCGTAACTAATTGATGTTGTAATTAGAATTAATTGCATGTTTTCAGGCAACTAATAAAGATAAGAATGTTGATTAAATGGGATAAGTATAAATAGGATTTTATTCATTTTTAATAAAGGTTTCTAAATTAAATAAAACATTTGTAATAACTTTAAAGCTAGACTGTAAATTAAACAAATCATCAGTGTATTTATATTTCATTTTCTATTTTTCAGCTCATTTTAAACCTAGTTTAAATTTTAAAACATATATATTTCCATATTTTGTTATTCCTTATTATTTCCTTATTAAAATCCTTAATATTTTAGCCTTGAATAAACTGAATTATTCTCTCTGCGGAATCATCTTGGCTTCTGTCTGCATCGAATCCAGAACTTCGGGCTGCATTATTTCCCCAATTGTTTCTATCATTGCCAGAATTATCAAGTGATTCCAATCTCTTTAATAGATTATCAACATCGGAATTGTGGACACTGGAGCTCCTGTCACCGCCATCGCCACCTGAGAATGATCTACCTTCATCACCTCCACCGAATCCACCAATATATATATTCTGAAATCCCGATTGAGCGATCGTCAAATAGATTAATCCGCAAATCAACAAAAGACGTAGAATTGATTGCATTTTGTTTGTTTCCTTTCCAGAGCTCTGATCGCAGTTGACTGAATGTCAGTTTGCCTCCGAGTGGTGCTTTTATAGTCTAGACTAAGCTCTTAGATTATCAGACATTCTATATAGTATAAATGCACATAGGTTATTAAATACTGATTGAGGTGAGAGCGGGAAATTCCAGCTAATGCTAACGTTCCTGTTTACCACAAATCATTTATTGATACGTTAAGACCGAGGCTTTTAGCGTTTATTATAAGAAATCTTGTGAAGACTGGGGAATAACCAAAACAACATATATTCTGGGATACAAATTCCTCTGCAGTCGTTTCTGGGTTTATTTCTTAACAAAATCTCTTAAAAAACATGAAATTCAAAAACTAATTTAAATATTATCTTATGGGTCGATAGGAATTCAATCCGTGGCCCCAATATTTCCTTTTCTTCACTGGAGTCTCCACTTGAGTAATCCGTTGAATTGTACTCCTCCTCGAAAATCTGTACCATTTCGTTCATAAACTCTTCGGCACTATTGTGTCCACTCCAGAGGCTTCATCCTCTTCAATGAAATCGTGTGAATGAGCAGCAATCAGCGTTGTAAAAATGATTCCAATCAACAGCAGCAGGAAAATAATGTAACTCTTCATGTTGCTAGATTATTTGTCTAACTGCAACTGCAGTTTCTACTTATAATTTCTTTCGTTTTTATACGGATCGAGGGGTTATAGCTTAAGCAGAATTCTGGAAAATCCAGTCTGGGCTAAGCCCCTCAGTTGTTGCGATTTCCTCATTCATATTCCAGGCTGCAAATGAGTCAGCAACGGTCTAAAGTAAAGTCAATAAATAAAGCATCACGTATACGACACGTTGCCGTCTGCGGTTAGACGTTAAGTAGAAAAGTCTTTAAATGCTTTAAATAATTGTTTAAATTAAGTTGTGATTAATAAGAGAAATTAATGAGTGAAGATAAGATGTTGTTTAGCATTATTAAATCACAAAATAAGAGTAATACAAATTATCTACAAGACTAGAAACCTATTCCTAAGTCAACTGTTTTATGAGTCATACTTCTGGGCAGGCCATAAAACAACGAAACGAAACATGGATTAGTGATGGTATGCTAAAGACAACCCCTAAATGACTTGGCTACGAGAACATCGAGCACTTCACTCCGCTTCGTTGCCTCAATCCCTCTTTGGCTCCTCCTGGCACTTTATTCAATTTTCCAAGCCGCGCTCACAGCTACATACATTCCCATTCCTCCTCCATTCCTGTTTTCAGCATCATCCCTTTCCCTGCTGAAACATGCAATGTACTCACGAGGCTAATGCCCTTTTATGGCTTTGGAGTGTGCCGCATCAGCAGAACATTGCAGTGGAAGGCAGCAGGGAAAACCTCCTAACCGCCATGCGAACAGGACCATTAGATAGGGGGGCCCCAGACAGGATTCGTGGTGCTGTGCAGCAGCAGCTCATTATACCATAAACACACACACTCAGGACTCTGCTCTGTGAATATGTCTCACACATTTGCATCATCCTTATAAGGGAGTCCTGAGTCTCTTTGCCATAGAAGTCAACGTTTGGCTTTTACTTCAATCGTTTGAACCGATTTTCTAAACGATTTCCAAGACTTTCAGTTTCGTTGTGTTTTATATACGAAAGAAAATGCTGCTAGAAAGTATGAAATGATTTTTTAGGAAGCAAGAACCGGTTATCTCTTGGTAAAAACATGTGTATCAGCCTTTACATAATTTTTCGAAACATTTACAACATTTTTTCATTAAGTATTCCATGTAAGATCATTACTTTAAGGCACTGGAATTTTTATATCTTCCAGGGTATTATAATTTCAGTCAAAAGCTTGAAACGCAATTAAATAATCATTTCCGACCCTATAAATCATATATATTCTTGATCAGCATCAAAAGCCGAATCAATCTCGCTATATCCGAGAAAAATTTTAATATTTTCGAAATTTAAAAATTTTAAAATTGTCAAAAATTGGCAAAAAATTTTAATTTTTTTACATTTTAAATGAAGTATGCAGATTTATTAACGGATTTAACATTTACATGGGGCAGCTTTCTGAATTTAAATTAAGGCTTTTTTGACTCAGTTGTGAGTTTTTGAAAAATGTTCATATCAAAATATCGTTAAATATCAATTCAAAGAATGTGATTCTTTTAATTTTAGTCATGTTATATTTACGGATTCAATCCTATACTGCAATTGCAAACTGAAAGAGTATATAAACTACGCCTTCCCAAAGCTAATTTTCTTTCTGGTTAATGCTATATTCTTTTAATTTAAATTATTTGTAACCTCCACAAGTATGAAATTCTTCACCCAACAAGCCTCATTAACTTATTTTTCTCAAGTTCAAGCGTTCAAACAAAAAAATTGGCATGCCAAAAGCATCTAAAGCTTAGCTCGTTAATGATATCTAATTGAAATACATCATAATTTTTTATTCAACTGCGTCAGTTGTTCAAGAATCTCTGCATTCCAGCGACGCAGCTACAAATCAAAACTCGATTTCGAGTTTGGTCTCCAAGCCCACATACATAAATACTGAGACAGTAGAACCTTAGCAAGTGTCATAAAGCGAAAGAGAAAAAAATAATATAACTACGTCTGAAATGGCCCAAGCACTCCGCCATATATGTATGTATGACGGGCAGTCGTCAAATTAACATTTCAGTCACACAGTGACCTTCACCTAGAAGCCATCAAAGCGTACCCAGCGGCCCAGCCCTAGCCCCAAATCCCAAAGCCCGAAGCCCGAAGCCCCAAGCTCCGACGGAAACTGAAGCCAAAGCCAAAAACCAACTTAAACGCAATGCGACCAAATAACGTATAAAAACTAAAGACAATAAACAAAAATAAAATAAAAAAAACGATAAGGAACAATCAAAAGTAAAGACGAACTTAACATACACTTTAATTGATTACAAGAAAATTTCTAACGAATTTATTAACAGATTAAATGTATAGTATTATTAAATAGGCATTTTTACATCTTAATAAATTGTATTTAAATTTTAGATATTCAACCACTCTTTAATTTATAAAAAAAATATCATTTAAAGTTTAACTAAAAATTAATTGAGTATATAAAATATTATTTAAAGAACTTTTATATAGAATTGGTGGCATTGTATATAATATATTATATATAATAATATATTAAAGATAAAGTTAGCACACGCTTTCATTTATTACAAAAATATATCTTAAAAAAATTATTAAATGATAAAATATAAAGTACATTTAATAAACTTTATTTTTAAAGTCTCTTAATTTCAATTTTAAGGCTTAGCCCACACTTCTATTTATTACAAAAATATATTTTAAAGAGAGACAGAGAGATATGAACTTGAAATTATATTTATAGAAATATTGATGGCATTTTAATTAATCTTTAATCTTTAAATATAAAAATATATATATTATAAAGAGATAATAAAATTTATAAAATATTTATAGATTTTCTATACATCTTATATACCTTAATAGCTTTAAATTTAAGTTTTTGTGTGCTTTAGAGTCGACAAAATCAACTATATACAATTTTATTAATAATTATTTAAATATTTATTTAATTAATCTCCATATTCAAACCCTTAACATTTAGTATATATCCTCTCAGCAAGGGCATAAAAATATATATTTAACAAAAAAATGCGACAAAACCGAAGCTGGCTATTGCTCAGTCGGTCGCGTAATTTTGTTTATTTTTTTTTGGAGCCACTTGATTAGCACGCTCTGAGCCATGTTTAGACGTGGGCTGTTTAACCAAACGGCAGCCACTTTATACACCCGACCTGGTCCGTCGACCAATCCGTCGTCCAAACCCATGGTAGCAGCAGCAACAAAACCAAAGAAAAACTACAAGAGAACCGATATTGGCAACGGCAACGGCGAACAGAATTCAGCTAAAGACCCGCACTAAAGACTTTGACGCAAAAAACGTGCGAGTACGTGCCGCTGATTAGTAAAACAAACAAATTAAATTGGTTTCTGCTTCAGCCTGTTTTTCTTCTTTTAGTTGTTGTTGTTGTAACTGCTTTAGGCTTTGGCCAAAGAGCTAGACCAAAAAAAGAGCGAGTCAAAGAGAGTTATTAGAGCTTTAAAAGAGAAATCGTAGTGAAGAGCAAGGGTTGAAGGTATCACTGGGTGGAACAGATGTTAAAATATTTAACTTAATACAAGCAAACAATATTAAATAGTGTTTTGCATTATTCTTTTTTCTTTTTAACAAATAAAAAGCAATTCGATTTAGGGGCACACGACTTGTTCAAACAATAATGGGTATCAAAAATGATTAAAACTTGAGCAAATATTTATAGTTTTAAGAACGTTTTAGCTTTGGATATTTCCACTTCAAGATAACCTTAATTTAGTATGTGTAGGAGACAAGGAATAATCCGTATGACATAGCAAAACATACTTGAGACATCCAATAGGTCTGAAAAATATAATTTAGAATAACATCTTTGCCCAAGAAAAAAGGTAAACAAATTGTAAGCTTTACACCCTTCAAACGGTCAAATTAGCACCCACAAGAGTGGATCATATTCTTAAATTAGCTCTACCGCGCTTAGGTTCCACTTTACAGGTTGATAAGAAACAGATATTGAGGGACAAGGGAAGGGGAGGGAAATATGTGCTTGCAAAGTCATACAAAGACAAAGAAATACTTTTGTTTCACTCACCCATTTACATTACTTGCTGCTGCTGATCGATCCAAACGGTAAATTAGTGGACAAAACTACTAAAAATTGTCTTTGTTTAAAAATCGCGACAGGGGCTTGGCGTCTGTTTTGGATTAACACTTTTCACTTTGCACTTGATTTAATACTCTTTCTTTTTCCACTTGCACATAAAAAAAATTAAAAAAAAACACGTGAACAGAAAAGCATTGATCTTGGCACTGTAAAAAAAAAGAAAAAAACATGCAAATAAAACACAGCACAGACTGTTCTAGGCCTTGCCTTTACTTCATTTATACTTTTAATTTCACTTCACTTAACTTTAATTTCACTTGCACCTGTGGCCCCTGTA